TTGCTTTGCATGATGATTTAGAAAAACAATACAAAATCTAATGAATCTGTAAAAAAGTAATGTTAAATCTTAAGATAGTAATAAGGATTTTTTTTATGAATTAACCAGAGCTCGCTAAAGAGAGTAACCTAATAGTGAAGCTTGTTGGTTTAATTTCTGCGAAGTGATCCCCTCATTGCTAAGAAATATAATGTAGCTTTCAGTAGCAAATTTTATTTATAAAAGTCACAAAGATTTTGTGTTTGCCCAATTCCTTTTCTTTACAAAGACAAATTTAAAGTTCCCACCTCAATAAAAAGCTGTGAGCGAGCGAATGCCTCAAAACGAGATTAAAAAGCTATCTTTGAATGAACATGTTGTTCTTGCCTTGGAATTCATAGGGGAAGATTCACATGCGTGTTTAGACGCAAGTCTAGGTACAGATATGTATCAGATTTAAAACCCCATTTGGAAGATCAGATTTTTTTTTTGTGCCAGTGTAAACGCAGCCAAAGTGTTCATTAAAACACACTTCAGAATCTTGGTGGAAATAGTTGATCATCCGGGTACTTTTTGCCTATTGTTTTTCAAATACTCTGTATTCGGACATACTTCTCTTTGGCATACTGTTTTTCACACGCAACATAGTAAGGAAGTATTCAATTTCTGACACAGTGCTGTAGTTTTCAAATAAGCCTGAATTACTTGATTAGCTGGATCAGGTGCACAACATTAAGTTAGAAGCTAAACTATAGGCTTTAGCTTCAATTTTTAAGAAATTATTCTCTAATCGGTTGCACATTATGACGTGCAGTTCCTTTTGTCTTGCTCTCTCAGATATTTCACATGTTCGGCAAAAATGACTAATTATCTGTGCATACACACTGTAACATGTGCCAGCCACGAAAGCTTGACAGGCATAGTAACAGTAACTAGGGAGGGCGGGGCTTAGCGAAGGGTCAAGTGAGGGAGTGAATGAAAACGAGTGAGCATACATCGGTTGTACACTCAATGAGTGCACTCTATAACATCCACTATGGTTTGGACACCGCTACAAATGGCTGTCCCCTCAAACAATATTGAGGGTAAAGGGGGCTAAATCTGATTTAGCCAATGTTTTTTTGCATAATGATGAGTTTAACTTTAAAGTTATGACACCATTGTTGTCAGATTTCAACAAACAGTCACATAGCTGTCATTCGTTCCCCAAATCAAGTAGATTGGAGCTGCACTTGCAAAACTATAAATACCTACCAGGGCATTATGAATAGTCAGTGAACGAAATTACATTATTTAAAGGGACAGTGATTTAAAGTCAATGATTTAAACAACATTCTAAGAGTTCAATGCTTCTAATTACAGTTTAGTTGCTCAGATGAGTGCTGCACAAAGTCTGCAGATTTAATTAAATTCGGTTTCCTTTCCACTACCACTGTAAAAAAAATTATATATTTTCAAGATTTGTTATCACAACATTTTTTCTTTTGTTAAATCAACTTAAATAATTTATTTAGTTGAGATAACTTATTATTTTGAGTTTCTGATGATTAAATTAATCATTAATTAATCATTAATTAATTGCATTAACTCACTTTTTCCAGTTCAATCAACTTAAAACTTTTAAGGCAACCAGGTTACTTACTTTTTTAAGTTAAACCAACAATATTGTTTTACAGTGTACAGTCTTCGGGAGTACAGTGGTATAGAATGCGACATTGTGAATTTGTCACAAATAACCAAACTCTGTATACAAAGTGAGATTGATCACTCAGAGAATAGAAGTAACACCTCTATTTAGCTGCACTTTCTGCATGTATCCAGAGAGGCAGCAAACTTGATGGAGTGGATTAAGTTTACCCGCGGATCCTATCCAAGCCAGTTTCCAATCCCAGACAAGCCGAAGATTGGGAAATGGTCCATTAAATGTTTAAAGGTGCACTAGAGCATTACATCTTACAGTCTTGACTCAAAGCGGTTCATTCTGGGAATTAGATAATGTGTTATAGGCCTAGATCATTAGATCACATCAGTAGCCACAATGTTTGACTACAGTTTCTTTCAGAGAGAAGAAGAGTTTAAGAGCACACAAACAGGAGGGTGGTAGAGAGGCAGAGATGAAGAGAAAGGCACTATTGCACCATGCTCTTTTTCGTTGATGTCTGACATTAAGCACCATGTGAATGTCACACAACAGACTATTACTTCACAAAACAAAGAAGCCATACCATCACTAAGAGTTCAAGCCCTGACATGACATATTCATGCATAGTGGGTTTGCTTGCACAGCTTAAAAGCTTTTATCTATGATTGTTAACTTTATCATTCTAAATGCATTTTGACATCATAGGCACAGTGTGCCTTTCATCTTAAGAGTTATAAAAGCTAAAACATAACACTGGTTTCACCCATACGTAAATTAAAGGGATAGTTCGCCCAAAAATGAAATTGTCATCATTTACTCACCCATATGTGGTTCCAAAAGAAGATATTTTAAAGAGTAGGTAACCAGTTGACAGCAGCCATTGACTTCCATTGTATTTTTTTTCCTATTATAGAAGTCAATGGCTACCATCAACTGTTTATTTACCAACATTCTTCAAAATGGCTTTTGTGTTCAACCAAAGAAAGAATCTCAAACAGGTTTTCATTTTTGGGTGAGCTATACCTTTAAAAAGCATTCACCAGTGATCTTTGAAAACCATTAAAAATTCAGGTGTTCTTCATTACGGTGAAATGGGTTTAAAGACTCCCTTAAGGAAAATGTGGTTTTATCTTGACAAGTACATTATGATAAAAAATAAAATATTAAGTATAATATTGAACACAATTTGAGTAACAATCACAATCACTTTTGGAATTTCATAATCTCACACATATTTTGAAACAACTTCTGTATTATTCTGCTATTATACAACGTGAAGTGTACATATAGAGCTATAAAGACACAAACCACTCGCCATTGTGATTGAATCTGTTAATATGGATCCGAAACGTTGCGCACCTATCTCAACAAATCCGCACTTATGCAACACTACGCTATACAACAGGTGTTTAGGTATTTAGTGCTGTACGTGTAGCATGGGAAAAAAACATCCAAAGGGCTTTTAGCTGCAGCTCCTCATTAAGAAACGTGTGCGTTAAGGGCTAATTATTTAAATAAAGTCAATTATTTCTTGGTCAGATAATAGGTGTGTTTACAAAAATATATTAAGTATATATTTTTTTAAAATATAAAAGTATATTATATATATTAAAATTATCTTTTATTTAGATATTATTGACAAAGTCTTGACAAAGATATTATTGACAAGGACTGGTTCCAATTGCAAAAACTTTTGGTTTTACCAAAAAAAAAAACGGGCCGGAAATTGCCTGAAGACAATAGAAGGTTAAACTGGCTTTATGGCAATTATGTCCTTAACTATAGCTATGACCTCAGTTAAGGATATAATAAGACCCTATTATACTTAAATGCAGCTAGTTATTTATTTATGGATACCATTGAAGACACACTCATCTGCCAATGATGCACACACACTCCAAATGAAATGCCGCTTTCAACGTACAACAATAAGACAAGTTCGATCATACAGATCTCTCTCTCTCTCCCCCTCTCTCTCTCACACACACAAACCTGCAGCATGTCTAAGCAAACTCAACACAAACCACTCAGTATGGGCTGCATAAGTTAATTATTAATGACTTTTAAGACATGTGTTTTAAGACATCAAGTTGCACAGGCCTACTTTCTCCTTACTCAACGCTGCCCTTATCAAAAGGTGTTGGCTCTTTAAGCTCCAGTTAGGGATCAGCTAAAGCGGCGCTCAGTGATTTGACCAAACAATGGAAAAGAAAGAGGCAAAGATTTTCTCCCTCTAATCCTCCAACATAATTACAACTGTAATGGCTATCCAATGCGAGATTTGAAAAATGATCCGTAAACACACACACACACACACACACACACACACACACACACACACACACGCACAGGCCCTTTGTTGCCAGGAGAGCAACTACACTGAAGAATTTAGAAGAGATGGCAATTTCTTGTAAACAACATGCTGGCACTAACCCAGAGATATACTCAAGGGAAGAAGAAATGCAATTATGACTAAAACATAAAATAAGAAAATATAATTTCTCATTCCAATGATTATATTTATTCTGATTGCCTTCATATGAGCAGGGACGTGTTCTTCAAATTGTCCAGAACAGGGACATCCTACATTGATTTTTTTATCAGTGGGAGGTGGATGATATCCGTATATTAGAATCTACCTTCATGTAGCAGATATTATCAATAAAGGCTCCAAGACTTGAACTGTGTTCTTATATGCAATAATTTAGCTGCTAAATCAATGTTATGCGCTGGTCATCTGCATTGCTTTCAAATGACAGACTGAATGTACCTTTTGATTCAGGTTTTTAAAAATGCTGTGGTGTTTAATAGTATGCCCATTTCTGAAATATGATAGGCCTATCATGTAGAAACTCCCTCTGATTCCAAACTATTTCCCAAAATAAGCATAATAATGTGAGAATGCTTTTGAGCTTCACTTCCTCCTTCCTGAAAAGGTTTAAAAGACTCCAAACAGGTTTCCTTTCTAATAACTCTGAGGATTGGGCTTTGAAATTGGCCTGATCCACAGTATTTTTGATTTGTTACTAAACTGGTCTATGAATGTCTAGAAGGGTTAAGCTCAACTCCATATGCGACACGACCCATGAATTTCATGCTCTTGTATATTTAGCATCTTATTTCTCGGTAGAAAACGTTTAGTTTGCGAGTAGAACAACTCGTTATGAGGGAAAAATTTCTAACAAGTACATAAAACACAAGTTGAGTGTGTGTTATGATGAACATGAGACGCAGAACACAAGAACTCGATCTGCTGTAAGAGCGTTGAACACAAGATCTGTCCTCCTTGGTGTCAGATGTTCTCCTGCAAATTACTTCAACATGTAGTAACACAAGCCGGGAATCACGCCACATAAAATCAGAGACGCGATCTTCTTACCTCGTCCCACTTGATAAACTTGCTCCCCCGTTTGAGCACCTCATGGACAGACACCGGTTTGAGCTGTAACGCGTGTACTCCCGGTTTCGCCCCGGCCATGGCTGCTGAATCGACGGGTGGCGACGCCTCTGCTTCTCGGGTTTGAAGTCTCTGACCTTTAGTGTGTCGGCTACAGAACAAGAGCCTCGAACCAGAACCAGAACCAGAGCCTCGAGTCCGGCTGGCTCAACCCACGCGGACGCGACTGTCACACATTCACGAGCGAGCGCAGTTTATGACTTTTGCGATTGTTTATTCATCTAAGCGCTTATCACGGCAATGACTTGAATTGATATTTTCCTTCCTGTCCGTCCATCCGCTTGGTAATGATGAGATCCCCGCTCAGGAGAAACTTTCACTTGACTTTGGTGGTCCCCGCTGGAATTTACTCCTCTTTTCCTTCATGTTTTCTCCGAACTAAATGGGAGCGCGAGAAGGACAGGCAAGGAGAGAGAGAGAGACGGGGGGAGTAAGGAAGTGAAGGAAAAAGCGAACAGACGAGGGAGTGTTTTTCTTTTCTTTTCTTCTGTCTTTCCGTTGTCATTCCAGTCTTTATAGAAGCATGTGCTGCTGTTTCTAACAACCATTGCTTTCGCTTTCCTAGTTTTGCCCCTGTGTTTAAGAGAGTTTTTCCTCATTCCAAGAATGTTTACGCGAATCTCACTGGGGGCCAAAGTACTTGAGTTCATTAAAAATAGTGCTGTAATCGGTTAAAAAAAATTAACTAATCGCAAATTTAATCTCGATTAATCGCACGAACATTATAGGTTTAATAGTTTTATATTGTAGCCTAATATTTTCCTAATAAATCTCCAAAATAATGGAGAAAAAACACGTAATGACGGGACATTTTAAATATTTTTTTTTTATCTTTTTACTAAGCACTAATAAAGCCAGTATCATTGATAGATACCATACTGATACTGATCTCTCTAGATTTTTTCCTGCTCAATTTTAGTAATTTATTTAGTTATTCTCATTCAACATTAGGCTACAGTAGAAGTCTATAATGGAAAGATAACATTTAAGGCTTTAAAAAAATTCACAATAGTGCTAAGAGGGTGCTAAAACTTGAAGGTTTTCTACAGGTGGAATAGGGAAAACAAGCAATATTTTTGACAAACATTAATCACAAATGATTTCAAGCAATCACAAACATCAAGCAATCAACAAAAACAACAACTACTACTTCTAATTACAACTAACACCCCATAAAACCTCATGTATAAATGTACATGAACATTTACAGTACACCAAACAGACACTACTCTCTCTCTCTCTCTCTCTCTCTCTCTCTCTCTCTCTCTCTCTCTCTCTCTCTCTCTCTCTCTCTCTCTCTCTCTCTCTCTCTCTCTCTCTCTCTCTCTCTCTCACACACACACACACACGTACTTTGCTGACTGACCCCTAACTGACCCCTGACCTCCTGTCTCTCAAACCTAATTCAGGGATCCACTCTTCCTGAGTCTCTCCTCAAGCTCACTGTCCTCACCCTAAGAAGGAATGACCCTAAATATGTTCCTTTCACCCATAAAATGTTCTCTTGTGTCCATTTCCTTGCTTCACCACAAAAATTCTTAATTACAAGTGGGAAGCAGTGATGGAAGAAAATAGTTTTCAATCAAGATAAATTTAATTCTGAATTCCGACAGTACAATTTAGTTTGTACATATTTATACGTAAAGAAGAGAAATAAAGTTTGCTCATTTTGCCAGTTTATGAGCTGATAGCTATGAGTGACCAAACAACAACAACTACAACAACAATTAAACATAAATTATGACACATAATGCACATTCTTGGAGTTATATGAACTTGCAAAAACACAAACTTCACAGAAGAACTTGAATGCACCATATGGCCATGAAATTTCAGATTCAGCCTCAAACATTCATATATAAAGAACATACTATTAGAGTTCAGATGCAAAAGCCTCTAAGTGCCATTTGAAATTTTCTCCTAGAATGATCATTTTTATCAAGCTTGTATATTTAAGTTCAGTAATTTCACTTAAATGACAATTAATAGGTAATCTTTATTGCAATTTAAGTGAAATTACTGAACTTAAATATACAGGCTTGATAAAAATGATCATTCTGGAAGAAAATTTCAAATGGCACTTAGAGGCTTTTGCATCTGAACTCTTCTTATTTTTCTCTTTGTCTTTTGTTACTAACATTAAAGATTCAGACAAAAGCATTCTGTTCACGTATTTAGGGTGTTAGTTCACAGAGAGTGTATAGAACAGATTTGGGCTCTTTTTTTTTGCATCTTATTGCTCTTGAATGGTTTAATAGCACTTCAATGAATGATAGCATGATCTTATATTGTATTGTGCAGCCAAAAGATAACAGAAAAAAAAAAACAATATTGTTTTAAAAAAAAAAACTTAAAATATTTATAACGGGTTAAAAAACACATTAATTTTGACTGTCACCCACCCAAAAAACACAAAAACATTAACATGCATGCATATTAACAGTCATCATTAGCTGCATTTCCCAAACGCATCATTAAGCTTAATAGTATACCATTGATGGCAATTGCTATACGATCAACTAATGCTTTTGTTGCTTTTGGGAAACGCAGCCCAGGACATTTTGGCGATTACAGATATAGCCTTGGCTTCTTTAAGATACATTTTTCATTGGAGGAAAAGAAAAATAACTGCCTATATTTTTAACTGGCCATAAGTTGATAACTTGTTGACAGAGCTGTATTAATAAAGCCAAATAAAAGGGCAAAAGTAGCCTATATCAATAAAGATAATTTTATCAAGCACTCTTGCTTATTGTGCATACCAGTTTGATAAAAATCGCTTGTACATCGAATTAGCTGAACAAACGGTTTCACAGTAGAGTTCAAATGTTTTGATAATACAAACGAGTCCAGTGAAACCATGGATGTTTGAGAGACAGCCTTTAGGATCCAGTCTTCAGGTCTTTCCCTGTTTTGCGGCATACAGTGGAAGGTTCTAGCTTGTCAGCGCCCTTAATACTGTACCCCTCCTCCTCCTCATTCCAGAACAGGTGTCCTCTTCCCAGACGAGAACATACAGTAATTCTCCAGGCCACGGAGAGTCAGGAAGCAGAAAAGACAATCAAAGAGTTACCATTCAAAAGTGCACCTTGCAAATGTTCTCAACTTTTATTACTTTTTGGAACACACACACACACACACACTTTCAATGTCAAGCCCAGCTGGGCCTCTCATTCTGTCCATTGAATGTGTCTTACAACCCCAGCTGTGAAGAATGAGATTTGTGGACTCAAGAGGGCATGCAGTTTTGGTAAAACTAGAACAGAAAGTTTGATGAAGAAAAATAACCACTGCAAAGAGAGTGGGAGAAAAATGAGAATATAAGGTCACGAGAGGAGAGATAACTGTAACTTCGATAACTGAGTGGTCCAGTCACTCTAATCACAGACTATTTCTGACCGAAAGCCAAGCACTCACAAAGACGCATTGTATTATAGCCCAGAGACACAAGTTAACATACACACAGCCTTATCCAGAATATATTCGATTATTTAAAAAAAGAAAGCCATTTAAAGATGTCATCTGAACTTTCTACAAAGTTCCTCCTTTGTTTTTTTTTTGGTTTTTTTTACATCTGTTTATCTGTTTTTCCTAATGAGAAATCCCTGACAGAGTCTACAGTAGCAGCAAAGGCTGATCACATTACTTTTTAGATGGCAGAAATGTGTGCCAAATGCTCTGAAACCTACTAAAAAGCTTCTTTGTTAAACCTCAGGCAGGACTGACTCAAGGTCTTCTACGGACAAACAGTTGACTGTTGCCATCTAGTGGCACGTCATAACTGGAGCGGTAATACCAACCCGGGGAACGCTACACGCTATATTGTAAGAAAATTATAGCATGCAATTAATATGATATGTATGATTATTTATATGGTATTTAATTATAGGATATTTATAGTTATTAGTGCCAACAAATGTGGTTTAAATTAGTCAGAAATCAGTTTTCAATTGCCTAGAGCATTGGTTCTATCCCAGGATGCCGGGGTCCACTATGGGGATCTCAAGATAAGATAAAATAAAACAAAACAAGCATTACAATTTAGTTGACAAAACAACTAAATTTGTTGTTTTTATTTTAATTCACCCTCTCAATGTGTTTTTAGAAGATTTATATAATTTAATATTGAAAATATCACAATTTTCGGATTGGAAATTGTAGTATTTGCTTTTGTTTTTAATTTATTCTTGTTCAGTAAACCAATGCAACTTGAAATATCGGCCTTCAAATAGCTATTGTTGTGGACGATGGGGGCCTTAAAAAGGTTGAAAACCACCGTGTTAGAGCCAGATTATTTTTATGCACAAATGCTTAACAGCTGTGTTATTAGTGCATCGGTTCCCTCATCATTCCTTCAGTTTCTCTCAATGGCCACAGCTGTGGACTAATCAAACTAATCTCTCATCAAAATGGCGCTTTTGTTTCCTCTTCCCACCCACTGCAGGCATCCTCATCACAGATCCCTATTTCACTTGGCTCTCTGTACCCCTAATATAGGTCATTTACTGTTTGCCAAACACTTTGCTGTCAATTAACTTCCTTTATCTGTTGTGATGCCATCTTTTACTTCAGCCAGGTAGCAGCAGCACAACTGAAACTAATGTCTCGGTTGATAATTCACTGGTTGCGTGATTTTATAGGCCTACTTCTATTGGTCATATTTGATTAAGTTGTCATTTTATGATGGTCAGTCATGAAGCCTGTGAATCGTGTGTTTTCAGAAAAATGCTATGGAGGTGTTTGACAAGAAAAGATGTAGCAAACTTCATTGTTTATTTCACAAATAGTATTTTGAGAAAATGTTCTATAGGCTAAATCTGAACAGGTCTGTGTCAAATGAATTCAGACTCCTGACGGAAGCACAAATATTACGCACAAATTCATTTCAGCCTTGTGTTGGTGCGATTTTTGATTACTCAGGACTTAATGTGCCTGACCGTTTGCTTGAGTGACTGGTTTGCCTTTGCGGCAATAGGGGGAGTGATGGAGCTTATTTTGAGTAATTTCAAGGTACCTCCTTTTTGTTTAAGCTCAATAATTTGACCTTTTATAATAAAACTATTCGTCGTACACATCACGATACAACATGTGGGTAAAATGACAAGTGTTTTATTTCATGAGGCGTATCGGACATGATTCTTATTCTTAGCTGTTAGAGCATATCTGGTGGTATTAACCTTTCTTAAGAGATTATGTCAAGTTCACACAAGAATCAAGTCATGAATGCAGCTTTACCCACTTAACCCTCACACACCTAGGGATCATAAAATTCTACTTAGAGACCATAGCAGGCTTGCAATACTAAATCTACACTAGATTTATTAGCACATGACAGCGTGTTATTCAATAGAAAAAATAATGTAGCAATACTATCATACATATTCAAATATCTGTATGTCTGAGTGTACAGATATGAGAAAAACTGTGTCACAGCATGCAGTGGGTTTACTGGACTGTAAGATCCAGACACAGCATTTTGAATAATTCATTGTCTTCATGCCACTTGTAAAACATGCTGTGACCTCTGAAATCAGCCTACAGCATTCTAACAACA